GAGAGAGAGAGAGAGAGAGAGAGAGAGAGAGAGAGAGAGAGAGAGAGGAAAAAATCGGTTAAAATATGGTTAACCCCACAGCTTATCCGTGCCAACATGGCAAAATACAATAATAATCCAACGTTGTTGAAACGAAAGCGATGTGAAAAATGCCACATTTATTATGAATTTAATCAGAATTTATGGAAAAAGATACACACATACAGCGCGAATGAACAAGGGAGATGGAGATAGAGAACGGATTGAGCTTGGCGACAAAAACGACGAAAGGACTTTCTGATCCGTGTTAACGGACAAAATGTGCAAAAACATTTGTAAAAAAAAATTACTGTTGATGTGGATAATTTTTAACGATAGCAGACACAAAAATTACACCAAATACATATTAAATATCGAATTGCATGCATAAAATTATTTGCAAACGTGCACTAAATTCATAATCGGGCATTGTGTGAAATTGCCGTTTTTAATGGCTGCTCAGCCCGAATGCAACAAACCACCACTTAAAATGGAAATTTTCCAAATAGAATATTAATTTAATCTATCTTTTTTATTTCTGTTTCGACTTCATGTGGATGTTGGAATCGATCGATAAATGTGCAAGTAAATATTTATGCCAAAATGTCAGTCAGTTCAAATGGAATTGTGTTTTGAGTTTGTTGATTTTTCCAGAATAAAATACGACAGGAAAAAAAACACAATTTTCAAAATACAATTTACTCGATGATTCAATTTGGATATCGATTTCCATTTTCATTTCCATTCCGGATATTTAATGCGGTGAATAGAAACTAATTGAGCCCAAAATCAACAATTACAGAACAGGGCTGGAATTCTAAGAATTCCACCAAAATCGTTCGGAATTATTTTTTTCGTACATAAGACCATATTGGAGTGAAAGAGAGAGATTTCACTATTTTTCTGCACTCCACCGGAATTATTCCGATAACTCAAGGAAGAGTGGATTGTGTGAGAAATAATTCCGGTGGAGTGCAGAAAAATAGTGGAATCTCTCTCTTTCACTCCAATATGGTCTTATGTACGAAAAAAATAATTCCGAACGATTTTGGTGGAATGACTTAGAATTCCAGCCCAGTTTGTTATAGTTTTCTATTGAAAATATTTCGTACCGATTGAAATTTGAAAAAGCTCCGCTTTTTTGTGTTTTGCAATACGCAGAACAATGCATTGCATTTGCATATATTGTAACATCCCGTGGATTAGAGCTGAAAGCCAATGCAAATTAGCTATATGCATTTTAATTGTATTTAAACAATCAAATTGTTTTATAGTAAGCTCATTTTGGTTTATATGCTTCCATTGAATGTGTTGTCTGAAACACCATAAATTGTTAGAAATTGACTGTGTACTAAATGAAAGCTATTAGTCGGCCACGTTTTCCATTGTATTCGATAACACTGTAATTAAGTAATTTTGGGTAGTCGGGGATGGTTTCAATCATGTGCAAATTATTAACCTGTAATTTGGTTTATTTCTTCTCGAGAAAGGGTGTGTGTTGTGGGATGGAGCAGAAGGAGAGAGAGAGAGAGAGAGAAAGCATTATGCCATGCCAATGTTGTATGAGTACCACATTCACTGGTCAAAAAAGCTTAAGGGAGTAATTAATCGAGTAGCAACAAAGGGTCAAAAGTAACTGAACATTTCCATGCAACGACCACGATAATTGTACTGATTGATAACTTTGATAAGCGTTGACATTGTGCATGGCCACCGTCATTTCGGAATGTTTATTTAATTTTGTCATCGTCGTTTCCACTATGGTCATTCATTTAAATCAAATTCACAAATCTGCTTTTTTACCACGTCTTAATTGTCCATAATTATTTTCTTGACAATGATTTTTTCTGTTCGTCGGTGCCCCAATGGATTTCTTCACAACGAACGCATTTGCCATAATCTTAATGGATAATCACCAGCCATAGTATTGGGATCAACCATACAAACACAATGGTGATGAAAAGCACGAAAATAACCCGAATTGAGCAAATATAACAGTAAACAAGTCAAGTTAATGAGCTTCCACCAGCAATAATAGTAATAAAATAAATCAGAAAGCACATGTACGACGCTTAGCGAGTATGGCATTTCCAAAACAAACCAACATCACAATTGCAATTTGCCATCGAAATCTACCTCGTCCATTCAAATCAACACAAAGTCCAACAGAAAATTAGTTTATTAATTTATTATACGAATTTATTCGTTTTGGTCATGCAATGTGTCGACACTTTTTGCTTCCTTTCACGGTCGCACGCGCTTTTCCAACTTCAATTCTTTTCGATTCGCATCCAATTATGCATACAACAATCTCTTACTTTCCCTCACTGATACTCCACGTTGAAGCTGATTTTTGGCGAAGCGAAAAAAACGGAAATTCGATATGAGAACTAAAGTTTTGTTGTTGACTTTCTTGATGGCATCCAGTATAAAAATGTGTGTGGTGATTTTTTTTTGCTCTTCTTTACCCGTGAATAAAGCCGATAAATCAAACTTCAGCCGGATTTATGGGACGAGAACCGTTCATTGCGGATTTTGTGGAAAAGTTTTTGCCTATTGAGAGAAATGGCGTTGTGTGAGTCATTTATCATTTTCACGCCAAACACAAATGGCAAATCAATATGATTCTCTCGATCAAGACGACAAAGGACAAGTTGAAACTTGAGCTCTTTATATGTGCGCTAATGTGTACCACACACACACACACACACAAACACACACACCATACGTCCAACTTTTTTTCTGCACCCGCAAAACAATCATTCCAATTTTCGGTTTGGCTGTGGCCGAACGTGGCAGCGGAAGCATTGAGGAGGAGTCGCACAACACGAAAAATGGAGGTGAATGGGGGAAGAGAAGTCAAAGCTATTTTGCAATATCGCACATATGACAATTTACCGAGGAAAAAACATTTCGCGTTCGAGAAATGATGATTTGTTGTGGACGACAGTCCTGCGGCGCATAACATACGAATATGTTTTTGCTTATTCTTTGTCTAGTCTTTCAACACTTCCCATTGAGATTGGCAATTGCATAGCGTCAAATGTCTGTTTATTGTGTATTTATGGCTCTTGTGACCGTCTACCATATTGTTGAATCATTTGAATTGCTATTCATTCAAATGTGAGTACTCGGTTCAGCCGAATGCTGGACACTGATTTTAACGATCTTTACGGTATTCTCCCTATCTCCCAAGCCATTTGCATTTCACTCTTGGTCTTGCATTTGCTTCGTCAAATATAACGAGCGAAGCCACGCAATATTCACATGATGAATTGTGTGTGTATGTACGTATATTAAGCAAACATTCAAAATGGGGTTAGTCGGATCTAGTGAATTGTACAGCACATGCTCAAAGTTCCCAAACGCGTACACAAATTCCTCATTTCTCTGTATTACTTGCTCATCGTGTGCGCTCTTCCTCGCTTCTTCTAATTATGCACGTGCTTTCATGCTTCGTCGGCGATATGAAAAGTTTCCAAAGGATTGATACGCAACTGCATTATTCATAGTTGCATGTATATTCGCTTGGATTAGCGGCGTGTGTCGTGAGCTACGGGCAAATGTGGGTAATTGTGTCCTCTTGGTTGCGCGTATATGTATCAGCAGTGAAATTTGCATCCAAATCAAAAGCCATGTTTTGCCATACATCGAATAAGTCTCCTAATGCCATTGCTTGTGTGCGCATTGTTTGTGTACTCACGAAAATCCTAAGCGATTTCCTTCATCGCCCACGGAAGAATATTGCGTATTTGTATTGTGATTTGCGCACATAATGCTAATCACCACATGCTCATTCTCCGGAGTTCAGAAAAAATCATCTGCATTCCGATGCTTTTTTGATTTGCTGCGTTGAATTCATTTTTTGGGGTATAGTATATGCACCGTGCACATGCTGCGATTCTCAATGTACCTAATGAAAATGCAGATAAATTCACTGTGATGCCTCCCCAGTGGCTCGACAATCTATTCCCGTATCATGTTTCATTTATTGATACATTAAGCTTGAAATCACTTGGTTTATTGGCGAGATTTGCAAATGTGCCATCGATTAAGCGAAATCGCTGGCAATACACTTTTAACCGCGATGACATTTTCCAAATGCATATTTCAAATTGTTATTGTTATTGCCAACGGTGCTACACAGCAAATGAAAAATGGATCAAAATCACTTTTACCGCATTACCTCAAATCGATGGCGTTGTTTTAGCGAACACATTAAGTGGAATATAGTTCATTGATTTGTTGAGATTTTTTTTCTTCGACCATTCAAACACGTGATGTACGGAGTTTGGAATTAATTTTCATAAAATCAAAAGAACTAAACCACAAGAATCGTGTTCAAGTGTCCAAAACATAAATTCAACCAGATGATTCAGCTAATGCGTGAATTGCAATTGAATGAATACGGATTTTTCAGTTCATTGCATCTAATTTCAACGAAATCGATGTACAGTCGAGGAAAATACAACCACCGTAACTTTTTTTTTTACTCTAAAAGCACACGTACTGTTGGTCCAACAGTGTTGGACAGACCATTTCGAATCGATTATTTCCCTGAAACTCTTATTAATTCCCAATTCGATGTGTAATTTAATATCAAACGAGTTAATCGTACACAAGTCAAATAGTTGATTCAATGATACTGATATATCTTCAACTCGTATATGTATTTCACACAAAATATCATTCATCAATGAATGTATGAGCAAACAAACAAACTGATAACAAGCATAAAGGAATTCATTTTCATATCTAAACATAATCGACTCATTGTGAATGCATATAAATATATATTTCCGGATATTGAACGGCATGAGAAAAAAAACAAACTATTTAAATCTTAACCATGCAAAAAAAAAATCTCGTTATTTTTAAACAAATAAAATGTTACAATCAAATTCTAGATATATGAAGAATAAAAAAAGAAACTACGAAATTTTGTTGAATGTATGTGCTTAAATAAAAAGAAACAAATAAGTGGAATTGCAAAGGAATTCACTTAATTGGTTCGAAGCCAAAACGGCGAAATGTTTAGCGAAATCGACACTTCGACCTAACGAAAACAAAAGAAGAAGAAAAATCGAAACTAGTGAATTAGTTCATTGTAACCAATGGAATCTTATTAAACAGTCCATTGGCAATTGTAAATGTACATCTCCAATAATTATAGACAAATTTAAAATAAAAATCTACTATTTATTTAAAACAAAAAAATTATGAAATTGTATAATAAGTATTAAGCTGAAATTAGGCTAAGAAAATAATTACGATTTTATTCGTAACCGATCTGTCACATTTAAATCCGAAAATCGGATTCAAACCAAAGTGAGAGAAAAAACATACACAGACAAACATACACACATTACATTTTGAATAGGTAAGGTCACGTTAGTGTTAAGTCAATCTATTACTAAAAAACCAAACCAAAACCCAAATTATTATTACTAGGCAATTGAGCTAAATGATGTGATTTAAACGGAAAATAAAATACATAGTATTTAAAATGATCAAAATGCGTCTAATTTCAATTTATTTTCCTTCATTTATTATGTGAAAAACCGTAATAGCTCATTTCGATTTGAATTCGAATATTGCGCGAATTTACTCCGGCGCAATAGCTCTTCATTAACAGTATTTCATCGGTGTGAAGTGAGTTTCGTTTACGAATCGATTTTATGCTTTCGTCACCGACCGACCGCAGCGCTGTTGCCCGATTCACGTGCACCAACATAATTGCACACAACGAACGAGCTCGTTGACAGAATGAAACAGTATAACTTCAGCACTGTCCATTGATGTTATGGAATTTTCGCAAGTGAATTCTTTAACGCAATGAACGTTGTTGTAGAAGTATAAAACTCATTTATAAGCCTCAATTTGTTTCCCCCAAATTTCATTTCGATTGAAAAAAATATATTCCGAAAAAAAATATCATTTCAACCAATTCAATTTGGACATTACAAAGTATTGACGTAGAAGAAGAAAAAATTGTGCAAAGCGAACAATAAAAAAAAAAAACAATGTGCGTTCAGTGTACCAACGAACCGTTTTCAAACAATTCGTTCTAACGTAAACAACACATAGACACCGTGTGGTGAATGCCATTGACGCAGTCGTGTATGTGAATGTGTCACAACGTTGTCGTAGTAAGTGTAGTAAATAAAAAAAAAAAAACAAAATTTCATGTTATTCTACGTGATTTGAGTTTGTGTGGGCGGTTGGATTGATTTTCACAGGAAAATTGATTGTAACATTGTTTTAGTTGCGGTCATTTATTGAATTGCTTATTTGGATACTTTTTTCCCATTGGAATTAAATTATTTCATTGATTGAACGACGGGTTTTATTTGGATAATAATAAAAACGCGCGAAATTGTCTGACAATTGAAATTGATATATCAGGTTTTTTTTTGGGGTTGCCACTGACATGAATATCGACACACAGGTGACGGTCGTTGTCGGTGGATGTGTATAAGTGTGTATTTTGAGCGAATGTGTGATTGTTTGTATGTGTCGTTCTCCCAGTTTGTCTATGCTCTGCGAACTTGCACTTATCCTTGTATCAGAAGTTATATGACGCACACACGCAAAGCGCTTCGAACAAACTAAAACAAAGAGAGTAAAGGCACGGTAAATAGAACAACACAAGACATCTAGATAGAGGGCGTGCGCATGATGAATGACCAATACACACATTGAACAGAGTGTATTGGAACGTAGTTGTAGAGCATACAGCAGCAGCAGAGTCAACAGCAATAATTGCTGTAGAGTATCACAAGCACTTCAATAAACGGCGCACACAGTTCAACAAAAGTGCTCAAAATGAACGGAGATGAGAAGTAAAAACGAAAAAAAAACAGTAGCAAAAACAATACCAACGAATCATTTAGCGAACAGAAAAAGTTAGTGAAACAAATCATCATTTTTGTGCAAAATTTGTTGGTTATTCTTTTTTTTCTCCATTTGACCGTGGTCTTGGTTCAGTTTGAATATCTCTTTTCAAAATTCATTCTCAGTGTCAGTCGATTATACACTTCGTTCTTCTTTTTTTTTCCTTCATACATACACATACACACACACACATTGCATTGGTATTTGTATTTTCCATTCAAAATTCAGTGGCATAGACAGTGCAGTATGTGTACATAACACCGAATACACACAGAAAAATCTGCTGAGAAGCTGCGATCAGTGGAATGAAATAGAAATAAAGAGAAAAAAAATATTAATGTTTATTGTGCGTCGAAACAACTTGGTTATTTTGATATACATATACGTACGGTAAAATAGCAGAAGCTAAACATTATCATCATCTCACCAACAACGAAATCAAATACAGACATTTTTTTTTAAATTTCTCGTGTAAATGAGAAGGAGAGAAAGAGAGAGGCAAGTAGAAGATCAGAAAAATCAGAACTGACACAAGCGGGGAGAAGCAAGATGAAAAATATAGAACAAAAACAAGCGGAATAAGATAATGTACAGCCAGTTGAACGAAAACTATGTAGTAGACATAGAGAGCGTGTGTGAAAATATACGACTATGAAATAGACACAAGAGTGAGAATTGCAAAAAACAAAACGAAGAAGAAGAAGAAGAAAAATACAAAACGAGCGAACGAAACGAAGAATTTACAAATAAAATAGAATTAGGAAACTCAAAACGAAGTTGAGCATTCGTATGAACTGGTGTCTGTTTATTTGTGCAGTGGAATTTACGAATCAAAAGCGGAATCAATGAAATTCTTACAAATCTCTGCACTTCAAACTAACCTGTTATTGCTTGATGTGTTAAGAAAAGAAGCAAAAAAAAAGCCAACACATAGCCATAGAATCAACGAGAAAATCAAGTGCAGTATCGTGTGCTGTCATTCAATGTGGCTTCTGTGAATTTTCTACTTTCGGTGCGCGAGTATCTCACCTAATTTTATCTCATTACTTAATAATTGCATAAAGAGTTGTTGTTTTTTTTCGGTGTAAAAAAGAGTGTTTTCTGAGACCCGCGAAAAAGAGAAAAAAAACTTCTGCCAAGAATCAGAATTCATCACCATCATCAATTTGTCGCCAACGCCATAATAATATAGGTAAGACGAATCGTTTGACTATGTGGTAAGATTAAAGACAATCCGATAGTAAGCCAACGAAAAGGAAAGAAAAAAATATACATATGTATATAATAAAATGGTGATGAAAATAACGAAGAATAAGAAGAAGAAAAAACAACACACAACACTCTAGCGATTATCCATACATATGGTATAACCATTTTATATGTGTTGAACAAATAAAAAAGATGTGAATGAATCGATGTCGAACGTATGGATGTGTAAACTTCGGTGCCCGTATAACACGAGCACCAAGTTCGTGTAACAAAGCATATAATCGAAATCGCGCTCTCTGTGTACACTCTTATTATTATGATTATGATTATTATTATTATTTTGTTGGCACCGAGTCTCTGAGGCAGTTAGTGAGTGCGCACACTGCAGAGAGTGTGTATCATGTGTATATATGTATATATATATACATATATACACAAAACATGTCCAATCGAGTCACACGCTACGGAGAGAAGCAGAATAGTAGAGAGACGATGATAGATTAAAATGTTTCCAATCAGAGTGTTTGTGGCGATTGTTGGCGGACTTCCCTGTCTATGCATGGGCAAGAAATTGAAAATTGTTCAATACATTTTCGGACGCTCAGTAAATGCAACAGCAAAAGCAGCAGCAGCAGCAGCCGCCGCCGCCGTCACCGTTGTCACAACGACAAATGTAGCGCTTTTGTTTAGGGAAATGTACAAGCGTACGCTATTTATTACTCAATATATGAATACATTTTCAATCAAAGAAGCCCATTGAATGTCGTAGACACACGATTATCGGTCGCATGAAAATCGCTGTGCAGGAGGTCATTGCAAAATTATAATGTAAATTGAAATTGCCAGTTTGTGTGGAGTTGTAGCCAAAATGGAGCCGCTCTTTCGGATTCAAATAGTTTAATCACACAGCAAAAATCGATTTTAATTAAATTCCCATTGTTCCGTCCGATTTTCATTTGTGTATGTGGTTTGCATTGCGATGCTAAAATTGGCTTCTCTTCCTCTCCGCTCAAATAGCTAGCGGTGCTTCAATTTCAATCCTTTGGCAGGTTTTTTTCTTTCTATCCTTTTTGTTGAAGCAGAGACCATTTCAATGACATAAAATGGCGCTAAGAGTGGCAGTAACAGCAACAACAAAATCAGGAGTTTTATGCATTACGTAAAGAGAGTGCTTTGATTCTCTTTTTTTGCCGAAAGAAACATTTGAGCTCGCATTCGAAAAAAAGTCGCTCATTGCGAAATACTGAAAAAAAAGTCATAAAAAATTAAATGAGAAACTTGCTCGTCACTGTATTCTTACATTGGACGGAGGAGAGCAAAGGAAAAGAGAAAGAGAGAGAGAGAGAGAGAGAGAGAGAGGGAGAGAGTGAGCTGACACGGATAGAAAAACAGAAATCGACATTGGTCTTGTTGCAATTGCCAGAGCATAGGCAATTCAAATGCACACATATAATACGAAATATGCCTGTAGCTACATTCACACATCGACAAATGGTGAAATGCAACAGCACTCTATCCAACATTTGTGCCTCGGCATGGGACATGAAACAAGTAAATATGCGCGAGAAACAAGCGAAAAAACGAGAGAAAGAGAACAACAACAACAAAATAAAACAAAACTTGTATTTGGTCTATAGATTCTAATATCACATCACATCACACGCCATTTAAAATGCACAACGTTTAAATTACTTATGTATTTTCAAATCGCGCGCGCACTCCATATACATGTTTCACTCTATGTGCCTCCTCATTTGAGATATGAGCAAAAACGATGAAGAAGATGATGACGATGACGACGACGATGAAAATTAAGAAGAAGAATACGGCAAACAACGAACTGTGTATATGTGCCTGTGTGCATGTCTGAATAAAGACAGTTTGAAACAGCTAAACGACTGAGCCTCGCATAAAGAGAGGCAGAACATTTTGTTGGCATGGGGTTTTTGTTTAAGGTATAAACGAAAATACATCGCATCGCTTAATCCAAAGCCGATCAAGTAAGTGCATGACATCTTGTGAATGCAAAATGCCAGAAATACGATTATGAATATTATCAAAAATTGCTGTAGAAACTTCTTCGTATGCATAATAATTTGAGCGCATTCAAATTACATGGCAAAATTGCGGCTGTGCAATTGTGCATTCAACTCTCCATAATGCTCTTGGTATGACGGTGGTATGGGTTTTTTTTGTTTTTGTTGCTGTTTCCAGTTCGGCATAAAGCCACCGTTAATCTCTAGGCAAAAACTCTCACTCTATCGCTCTCTATTATATCTACCGATATTTATTATTCATTCTGGTTTACTTTGGCTTTCATCGTCATCGTAGTCGTCTTCATCGTCGTTTTTTTCTTCACCTTATTCTCCTTCTGATTGCTGCTGCTGTTTCTTCTTCTTCTTTTTTTTTTGCCTTGTTACGTTTCCTTTCAGCAACTAAACCTATCCGTGTACGCGTGAATATGAATATATCGACATGACCTTTCTGATGGAGGCGAGCAAGAGAAAAAGAGGAAAGGGAGAGAGAGAGAGCATGGGTGGCAAGCAGAAATGAGAGAACGGAACGAACGAAAGAGATTTTATGTGAGCTAGCATTTTTCCATCTTGTCGCATGGATTCGACTAAATCAGGAGACTAAGTATGAGTGCTCAATCGGAGCATGTCTATGTATAAACATTTGGATATTTTTGCCTACTTCTCTTTAGTTACTGTTTTTTTTTCTCTTCTCTTCTACCCGTTGCGTTGTTGTACACATTATTATGTATATGTATTTGTACACACGCGCGAGACTTGAACATATGAACAAAATTTTCAAGAGCCATGCGATACAGGGGAATTTATCCATTTGGCAAATATACTCGATTGTTTTGATCGAAAATGTGTGTGTGTGTGTGTGTGTGTGTGTGTGTGTGTGTATGTGTGTGTGTGTGTCTGCGGAATTCTAGAATTCATTTCATTCAATGTGTCGAAAAATGTTAATCTGAAAGCGTATGAATGTCACAAATACCTCTGCAAGTGTAGACATGAAATTTATTTTGCCAATGTTTCGTAAATATATTGATTGGCCATTTGCAAATTATTTGGATATTCTCGTAATATTTGCAGTTATTCAATTGGCATAAACGCCCCTAGGTAAATACATCAAATGTATAGATAGACATTCATATGTATATTTCGCGTTCTCGTCATCTTCAAACTGTTGTTGGTTCTGGTGCTGTTACTCCTCTCTTGTTACCTTGCTCATTTCCTCTTGTAGTATGCTCGATTCCCCCATATCCATCTGCGTCCAAGTCTCATTAATGGGTATCTGCAGAACAAAAATAAAATTAGCAAAAAAATTAACAACAAGTAATCAGGCATCCCTATTCAAAGTGCTTGTTTGGCATCAACAACCGAGAGGGTGGCAAATGGAGCGAGTGTTTGAAAGCCGTCTATCATGATGCATCACACCATATCTGTGTGCGATTTAAGCTCTATTATACGTTCTTTTTTTGCTCTCACTCTCTTGATAACAGATCTGTTGTGATGTAAACGAGTACGATTTTATAACGATTTATTATTCGCTGGCTGTAATTCCGAATCTAGCTCAAAACATCATCATCCATCCATTTATGTTATGTTGCCATTGGTGAATTGTGCTTGATTTGGGCACATATATTTTTCCAACAATTATTATTTTTTAGCATCAAATATTGACGAGAAAAAAAACACATGGACATGCATTCGTGTACAACACCGTCGATTGTATCGAAAAAAACGGACGTTGATTTAATCGACTCATGCGCGCCGAGACATTTCATTTGAAATGTAAATTCAATTATGGAAAAATATGTTTTATTTGTATAGTCATTTTTAGTTTGTGATGATTTTTCGTGATTTAAATTTAAATTCATTGTCCCGAAACAACAACGACAACAGCCTTAGCACACATAGCCAACAGCAAAGCATACAGAAAAAACAAAACACAGCTCAAAAAAGCAAACAAACGAACGAACGAGCGAGCAAACAAGCAAGTGAACCATTAACTTTTTAACCGTGCGGTTGCCAATGGATTGTAAAGTAATAAAGTAAATGCCTATTAGGCATTTGGATAGACGGGGAGTTAAATAAGCCGATGGATCGATTTTAATTTGCAGTGTGAATGTGTCGGTTTCAGCGCTGCAATTCAAACATGATTGTGTCATTTGTTTTATATTTGGCATGTACAAGTCTTGCGTTTCGGTTCGCTTCGGTTCGTCAAGAGTAGCTCTCTAAGCCAAGCACAAGACCAGTAGCACAGAGAGAATAAAAACACCATTTTTAAGGAAATTTAATTCATCGACGGCATCTTACTCGCTCTCTCTCTCACTCGCACACGTTTGCATTCGGTCTCATTTCATCGTATCGACGAACCGTCGGGGACCCCGGCAAAATGTTGAATATGGACAATAAAAACGTTAACAGCGATTAACACAGCCAACATGTAAATATGCACAAGCAACACACACAAACTTGACTCTTTTTTTTCCACTTCTTCTGTTCAATTTCCATGGGATAGTTAACGTTTGTTGGATTGTATTGGAGGCTTGTAAAACGCGCGCGCTCCGCATTTGCATGATTCTCTGTGTATATTTTCATGCCACTGGATAATCGAAACGAAACAAAACGAACGACGAGAGAAAGAGAAAGAGAGAGAGACGGACACATATATACAGAATTCCATGCGCGTTTTTATCTCTCGTTTATGTTCCTCGTTCCATGGCTTTTTCAATACAACAGAGCACAACAGAAAAAAATCCATATTTTTTTGTTTCTCCATTTATTTATTCAATTTCAAACACGTTCAGCGATTTTAATACCTCAATTGCGCTCGCTGCCTTTGTAAATGAGTTTTTCACTTCATATGCGCTTTTTCGCATTTACGTTTTTTCATTTCGCACTCAACTCTCTGTCTCTCCCGTTCGCCTCATTCCGGCTCGAATTTCATTTCGAGTTGCATTTGTAC